TGAATTGTTAGATAACATAGATTATGATTTTCAAATTAAGATATGATTTTTGTTTCAACATTTGAACGCCAAGTGATATTGTTATCAAAATAAGTGGATTGAATTAATATGGAATGGAAGATACAAGAAGATACTTTGAAGTATATCACATGGCAAAGAATGATGCTAGAAAGGAGATACATGACATTTTTAGGATTCGTTTATTAAGAAATGTAGATTTGCATTTGCTTTATCTTGATATCTGTTGCTCTTATTGTTAGACATTATAATTGTATTTTTGCAATCTAATTAATTACTTTTGTTGTTGGGTTTGCACATATTTATGGAACAAGTATTGATATTTCTTCAAGTGTGCTTTGCACCGGTCCATATATATGGATTGCTCCATTAATCACTGGACCCCTTAGGATCCATAACATATTGTTTATTATTATTATTATTATTATTATATATATATATATATATATATATATATATATATATATATATATATATATATATAAAGCTAGGTTCAAATGTGGATGAACATCTATTGTGTGGACGTGTGGACAGTGCTATTCTGTGAGAATTACAAAGAAAATATGTTGTTTAATAATATGAATCCGTTCAATCTTACATAACTATTGTCATTATCACACATTCTCACTAATTAAATCGTCTATAAGGTTATTATAGACTTTTTATTATTATTCTCATTCTGTCAGAATGTTGTCGGAATGTTTATTGAGTCGTATTCTGTCAGAATGATAATGAGTGAAAAACGATTTGTGAAAACAAAAATGAATAAGAATTAGTGAGAATGCATGAAAATGACGATATTTTTGTAAGGTTGAACGTATTCGCATTACTAAACAATGTATTCTCTTAGTAATTCTCATAGAATCGTACTGTCCACACGTCCACACAATAATTGTCCATCCACACCTAGCTATATATATATATATATATATATATATATATATATATATATATATATATATATATAGGGTTGAGATCGGTTGAGAACTCAAAGTTTTCCGAAAACCCGAGAACTAAAAGTGGAGCGTTGGATCAAAAGTAATTCGTTAAGGACATGATCGTCATCCTACCGATCTCATTTAATGTTTAACTTTTTTGTTTTATTTAATATATTAATATAAATGTCTAAAAATTAACAAAATAACTCAAAATTTCGGATTTATTTTGTTAAAAAAAAATAATTTTCGATTTTTAAAAAAAATGGAGATTATTTAACTTTTTTCAAAAAACATGAATTTTTAAAAAAAATGAAAAAAAATATTTTTTAAAAAACTGTATCTTTTTTTCAAAAAAAAACTGCATTTTTTTTTTAAAAAACTGCATTTTATCTAGAAAAAAACTGTATTTTTTTTTTCAAAAAAACTGCATTTTTTTTCAGAAAAAACTGCATTTTTTTCAAAAAAAAAAAAACTGCAATTTTTATAAAAAAAAGTGCAATTTTTTTCAAAACTACATTTTTTTAACCAAAAAAATCAACGTTTTAGGTGCATATATGCATATTTTTTCAAATGCATATATGCATATTTCTTATACTATAATATTCGTAAGTAAATTATAAAAATCTCATTTTTATTAATCAATCTATAAACATATTACAAGTATTTTATTCGATACAAAATAAAATATAAAAAAACTACAAAGATTCACAATGTTATCATTTCTTCATATCAGCATTTCTATATTTTCTTTAATTTATCACTTTTCACCTCTTCAATATTTTCAACAAATTCTTCAAAACCTACAAGAAAATTTAATAAAAAAATTGATTAATGCAAGAACACTCAGAAAAATGCACAAGTATATATCATGTAAGATTCATATGTGATTATATCATGTAAGATTCAAATGTGATTATATAATGTGATATTCACATGTGATTGTATCTTTTAAGATTTAAATGTGAAATTCACAAGAAAATAAAAAAAATAATTAACAAAGACCACTTACACAAAATGCATGTGTGCATATTGACGTAATTCATATGTGATTCACTAGTGATTTACATGTGATTAATATGTGAATTACATGTAATTTATATGTGAATCATATATGAATTACATGTGATTTACATGTGAATCACATATGAATTACATGTGATTCACATATAAATCATATATGAATTAGATGTGATTCACATGTAAATCACATGTTATTCACATGTAATTCATATATGAATCACATCTAATTCATATATGATTTACATGTGAATCACATGTAATTTATATGTGATTTACATGTGAATCACATGTAATTCATATATGAATTACATGTGATTCACATGTGAATAACATGTGATTTACATGTGAATCACATCTAATTCGTATATGATTTATATGTGATTCATATGTGAATAACATGTGATTTACATGTGAATAACATGTGATTCATATGTGAATCACATGTAAATAAGAACAAAAATTGCAAGAGAAAAGTTTTTGGGAACAAAATTGAAAAAAACAGCAACACTCAGGGACCAAAATTGTAATTTACTCTAAAAACAAATTTGAATCTCATTCTCACCACTTCAAATGTGTCAAGCAATCTACCAAGCTGGTAGGCATGCTGCTCTTCATCATTCACACCATCCAGCATTATGTACTCAATGAAAATCTTTTGCTGACTGTAAAGTCAATACCAGAAGGGTATTTTAGTAATTTTACACTTTGAGGAAATTAAAAAAAGAAGCAAAAAAAGAGCTACCTTTTCTTTTGATATTCTGCTAAAGCATTCATAAGTTTTTCTAAAGGAAAAGCGCGAGCTGCAGGCATTATTTGACACCTAATATCTTGAACTGGTGCATGAAGAGACACTGCTAGGTTTATATTTTGTAAGTCACCATGAAGCTTGTTTATTGCATGAATTATTCCAACCTACAAGAAATTATGAGAATAAAAGATATGAATCTAGAAATGTTCTTAAAAAGACTAATATTGAGGATGTAAAATGGAGCAAACAAAACAAACCGTTGAGACAGTAATTTTCTTGGGTGAAAGCTGAAAAGGGAATGTTGTCATTACTCGAATAGCTTCAACTAAAGCATTGTAGTTGTTTAATGGCTCTCCCATTCCCTGAATACAAGATGATGATATCAGTTGTAGTGACATAAATTTCAAGGAAAACAAGTTTTTTGAGGTATTTACCATGAAAACAACATTGCGAATGGGTGATAATCGAGAAGCATGTACTAATTGTTCTATAATCTCTCCTGTTGAGAGGTTGCTCTTGAATCCCATACTTCCAGTTGCATAGAATGTGCAGCCCATTTTGCATCCAACGTGTTGAAGAGAATGATTCACATACATGTGTTGTGATATAGAGCAAAATGTCGATTGAATCTATCAACTGAAGAACTCAAATCAGGAAAGAATTTTGGTTTGGAAGGAATGGATAGGGTAATGGTTTACCTGTGAGGATATGCATAAGGTGGATCTTGGAACACCAGGATGAGGTTTGCCTTCATATTTCCCTAAAAAAGTCAAAAAACAGCAAGAGTACCTGAAGTTGAGGTAGATTAGATCGCATGAATGGATTAGTTTCTAATTCTTGTTCAATGGTTGATGGAATACAGCAATTAAGCATGAATTGTTGATGATCAACGACAATTAAGCCTAGATCATTGGAGGATTTTGGATTCCATGTCGATTGATGATAACGACTACGAAATATGGATCGATTGTGGATCCAGATCTGAAGGCAAGAAAGTGACGACTCTGGATTGAACGGACGGTGTTGCTGCTTCCGAACATCGAGTCGTCCTCTGGCTCAGAGACCGGAAGCTCAGAGGCGAAGGAGAATCCGGAGGTTCAGAGCGATCGGACCTCTGGCTGATTTATTAGGGCACGAAACTTCGAGAGGGAAGAATGACGCAACCACCGCGATGTTAAATCTATCAATCATTGGAGAATCTTCAATGAAGGCGGTGGTTGTTGACAGAGGTAGGGTGGTTGTTAGAGGGATGAGGGAGGGGTCGACGAAGAGGGAGGAGGTCGATGGAGTCGGTAAAGAATCGGAGAAGGGAACGAGCGATAGAAAGACTAATCACGATCTGATATGTTTATTTGGGGAGCTAATTACCTGTTCCCTTAAATGCCCTTATCTTATTTTATTAAGATACCCTTCCTTGTTTTTTTTCTATTTATTTACAAAATTGTCATCAAAGATCTTAGCCCTTAACTTTTTTAATCTAACGGTCCACTTTTAGTTCTCGGGTTCCCGGGAAAATATTAGTTATCAAATGATCCTTATATATATATATATATATATATATATATATATATATATATATATATATATATAATTTTTTTCGAGCATTATACCACATTAATAGTTTATTATTATCCACTTTTAAAGTGTGTTTGGCAACAAGGTTTTGAAAAAAATTAGCCTTTATTTTTTAAAAAAGAAAACCTAAAAGTTTCATTTAGGAATATGAACTTAATGCTTTTAGCCTTTTAGCATCTAGATTTTAAATTTTATGTAATTTTTGTTATATCAAAAGTTTACAACTATTTATATCAAACATCTATATACAAATAAAAACTATACCTCTAGCTACCCGTTATTTTTGCCAAACATATTTTAATTCCGTGTGCCATGTAAAATCAGTAAACCCAATTCATGAATCCCACCACTACTAATCTTCATACCATCTCTATAGAATTTATCTTCCTTTGTCAAAATTAAAATACTTAAAGAGCGTTAAATAGCAACCAAGATTTCAAAATGTCTACTTTGATCACTCAATTTTCTTATACCAATTGGATCATCAATCCTTCAACCTTTCCATCTTCATATATACCTTACAAAGCTTCTTTATGTTTTTAACCACAAGAAAGATCACATTCTTATGTTTTGACCACCGAAATATTCATGTAAAAGAAATGAAAGTTTAATGGCTCAAGTTATAGAAACAACAAGCACAGTAACATGTGCAAATCTTTAGCAGAAAACTGAACAACACAATGTTACAAAAACAAAAAAGATACAAGAAGATTTAAATTGAAAGATCCACCCAAAATAACCCACTATACATTTCAATTAAGTACAACAAACAGCCTCCCAAAAGGATATGAAATTAAACATTGCCATAAACTATGCACATTTATTAACCAAAAAGTATCACAAAATCATAAAGTTGAAACACATTGCAACAATTATGGTGAGAAACTAATCAGAAACAACTGTTTGCAGGGATAGTGAACTCTCAACTTCCTTGTTATTAGAATTTCTTTCTGCAACAACTTTAGACATACCAAACATCTGCATATGCATCATGATACTATAAACTGTAAGCATTGAAATTCGGTTTTCTGGGAATATGGGATTAATATTAAAATTTAAAAACATACCTTTGAGATGGTCTTTTGGAAGCATGTCTTGTGTTCATCCATGGAAGCATTTATAAACTCATCAATGTGATCTTTTACATCCTCCAAGAAAGTTGTATCATCTGACTTTTTCCTTCGACATGATGTAATAACTGGAGCAGAAGCAACAGGGGGCTGACTTTTTTCTGTTGTCATACTTAGTCCCTTGAAAAAAAAATACGATCAAGGAAATTTGAGTAAAAAGTCGAATGTCTAAACCCATTCTTTGATTGTGACAAAATAGAAAGAACATTGCACACTGATAAGTATTAGCATTGATTTTAGTGGGGGAATAAATAATCATCATCAATTTGTGACAATGAGAATTGGCAAATACGAAATCTTAACTAATGCCAAGAAAATAAGATATGTAATTAACATGATCTTGGTCCTTGGATGTTAAAATCAATAACCATCAATAGCTTGTGACAATGAGATTTAGCAAAAACACAATCTTAACCTAGAGATTGCAATAAAAGTAACATTTGTAATTAACACTGGACATTTCAAAGCAGAATTCATGGGACAGAGGGAGTTAAACACTATCAAATTCTAGTATATGAAACATGAAATTGTGAAGCTAAGATAAGGAGTTAATTACAGCAAGTAGCATCAGGGTTCTTGATTGTAAAGCGACAGGGAGTCTAAATGCGGAGAGGGATTAGGGCACTGGTTGCAATCCCTTTTAAAGATTACACTTCGCTAAACTCTCCTATCAGATTTTTCAAACTTTCCGATTTGTCAAAACGACAGATAAACAAATCCTAACGTTAAAATTCTTCCATTCGTTAAATTCAAATTCCTAGAAATTCTTCAAATCGCAGAATAAGATAAACTTTTTCTCAAGTTTGTTAAATAGAACCATGGACAAATGAAATCCCTAGAACACGAAATTGATTTTATTGAACTCAAATCTTATAAACTATAGTATAATATAGATGCGAGACATACCTTATTCTACAAGAGGAAATCAACGTGTGCTGCGATGTTCTTGTAATAACAATCTTCTATTTGGTCTTCCTTTTGCGGGATAATTTTGAAACCCCACCGTGTTTATGCGACTTTGGGATTCAGGTCATGGTACTTTGATACTCTTTAAACGGTGTCGTTTTCGGCTACGGGACCGCCTTGTATTTGACCAACCGATCGGGCTTAAGTGGGTCTTTGGCCCATTCAATAACTTTGCTTTATTTCAGTAGCAAAATTGTTAATTTGGTTCGGTTCATAATCAAAGGATAAGGTACACCTAGTCTCCTATATATGCATGTAAATCGGTTCGGAACCGGAACGAACAAAAAAATTCAAAAACCGAATAAACCATAAACTAAGAACCAAAAAGTGGACCGAATACCACTATTCGATTCCAACCGGTTTGGTTCCAGTTCCAGTTCGTTTCTACTAAGAAATGTGTTATCTAAGAAGGTTTTCGGACCGAAACCTGACCGAAGCCAAACAGAACCGAAAAAATCAAATAGTGGTGGCCCATGTTATATGACACCTTATAAAAATGAATGTTTGGTGGCCCCTTTTCAGAATGAATGGCAACCGGGCTCATAAACGAGCCTACAATGTGTATTAAAAAGTTTACAAATTCATGAGTCTCATATAGCCACAATCCAGATATTTTTGTAGGCTTTATGTAGGATGAACATATGGACCGGGGAACCGGCCGGAACCGGTACCGGAACCGGAACCGGCACCGGAACCGGAACCCGATGGAACCGGTCGGGCCGGGACCGGGACGTTATTTTTGTAGATTTTTGGAACCGGGAACCGGTAGGAACCGGAACCGATATAACCGGAACCGGTAGACCGAGAAAAACCGGCAAAAACGGTAGAACCAGCAAAAACCGGAACCGTATGATGCTATTTTTCGAGGACCGGTTCCAACATTTGAAGATACGACAAGAACCGGTAGGAACCGGGAACCGGTAGAACCGGAACCGGTAGAACCGCCAGGCCGGTTCGGTTCTTGATTTTGGCCGAAGCCGATTCCCGGGTCGGGTCCGGTTCCGGCCGGCTCGGTCCTTTTTGCTCATCCCTAGGTTTATGGAAACTCATATTGGCTACCACTAGGAAAATAAGAATCACCTCTTCCTAAGTTAAGAATCCTATATGTTGGCTAATCGTACAAACAAAATGAACCTACATTTTGAAGAGTACTGATTCCACTCAATACATGACTTATGTGTTGGCAGATGGCAACTTAAGTATCCGAATGTTGAAAATGTGATGGTGTTGTACCGCTTGTTTTTATTGACATGTATATTCACATCGTTTGATCTAAATTTATTACAATGTTGTTTGATAGTTACTAATTGAGTTAGAAGCCTCACTAAAACCATGTTTATTATGCATATGATTGGTTGTGCTGAATGATGAAAATGACCGGTTTGTCTTTCTATTCTGTTTGCAACTCAACATACATCTGTTAAATCAAATATGTGTCAAACTACAATAGTTTTTATGTTATATGCCCTAAATAATAAATAAAAGATTAAAAAATAGTTAAAGACGATTTTTTTAACATAGTTAAAAGAAAAAATAATCATTTAAGTCTGATAGAGACTAAAAGCGAAATAAAGTTAAAGTACTAAACCATGAACACGGCTACCATTACTGTAACATCAGTTTTTTCAACTATTAATCTTTTGGCATTTAATTTATTTAAGTTTGGAGTTTTTGGGATTTTTGACTAGTCGTAGCGCAGTGGTGAGACCATTCGTTGCACGACCATATCATTTAAGTTATGACGCGGTCAGGCGTGCACTGCGACGCGGTGGTGGCTGGGTTCAAAACCCTATGTCTCAGGCCTTGGCCTTATTAAAAGGATGTGTGGTGTAGGGTTTGTTCCTCCTACTGCCTCTATCCTCCCAATGCAAACCATTAACCTTTATGTCCATTACTTAGTGTGTTTTGGTATTTTGAAGGGTTGTTCTCGAAGTAAAAGGCTTGTATTGCTTGAAGGTGTTGTGTTCCAACTAAAGTTTCAACCTTCTTGGCCCACATTTGCTCTGTAAGTCTGAAAGCTTCTTGCTTTATCATTCTCCATGCATAGATCTTGGTTGTTTTGGTGTTTAAGTGGTAGTTTGGTCCCTTGTAATGATTTCCTTGGAGTTGGAAGAACTCCATATAGGGATGTAAACGGTTTGAACGAACACAAACAAGGGCTTGTTCATATTCGTTCATTTAACAAATTACCTTGTTCATGTCCGTTCATTTATGTCTGTGAACATGCTAAACGAACATGAACGAACAAACACAAACGAACAAAGACAAACAAACACAATTGAACATATATGAACGTAAACGTATATATAATATAATAATATAATTAAAAAATTGAACATATATGAACATAAATAAACTTAAACGAACAGACATAAACAAATGTTCACGAACATAAATAAACGAACGAGACCATTGTTCATGTTCGTTCATTTAACTAAACGAACGAGAATTTGAGTTCATGTTCGTTCATTTATTAAATAAACGAACTTCCCGTTGCACGGTTCACGAATGGTTTGCCGAAAGTTCGGTTCGTTTACAGACCTAACTCAAGAATTTGAGGAATGTGTTGTTTGTCTTTTGGATCATATAGAGTTGGAAAGATGGAAAGTCTTGCACCATTTATTAAACCATAAAAGGAGTTGGTCACGGTGCAGTGGTCGGTGATGGTTTATCGTTGAACGTTGACTTTTGACCAATTTGACTTTCGGTCAGACTTAGAGGTTTTAGGTTGTAAACTAATGTGTGACCTCTAATAGTGATGGGTGGTGCGGGCAGCTGATTCTACGTGACTTTGAGTATCGCCATTTCAGCTCTTTGATCAAGTGAGTATTCTCACTATACTATGTAGGACACTAGGTGTCATGATATGTTTGTTGTCTTTGTGACTCTTGCTTGTATGTTTACATGCTTGTTGGGTTTGACCCATTAGGTTGGGCCCGCTTGGTTGAAATAGATCGTTAGGTTGGGCATGTTATATGTATTATATATGGTATCTTCGAAAACTCGCTAAGCTTTGTGCTCACAATTTAAGTTCAAATATTTTCATGTACTTTTAGTAGCAAAGGGAAGGGCACGACGTGATTGCATCGCATTTGCTCTTGTGTTATTGAGATTTCCGCACTTTGACTTTGTTATGACTCTGATTTTATGATGTAAACATTTGGTTGATTTTCCTTTATGAGAAAAAATTGAAATGGTTAACTTTTTCTTAAAAAATGAAAATTTGGTTTGAAAATTTGGGACGCTACAAGTTGGTATCAGAGCCTTGGTTTGAGGGATTCGGGCTAGCACTGGGTGCGTCTGAAGTTAACAGGATTGCGATACTGTTTTTATGAAAATGTTTTTTAAAAGTTTTTGTAAAAAGAAAAAGGATGCGATGTGTGCAATCAGCTAGAGCTCAAGTAATTAATTCTCAAAATACTCATACATATTGTTATGTTAATTATGTTATTGAATGATTAAAGTAGGGGCAAAGGATTTGCTAAGGATTGCATGCTAGAATGTTTGTTAGGAGAGATTCCTTCTGATGCATGTTATGTGTTTGATTTGTGCTTATTAGGGTTTATACTGATAATGATGGATTGTCTGATGAATGAATTAGAGGGGTACATGATTATGAATAAATAGCCTTAGAATTTTTAGTTCAGTCTTATTGCATTTTCTTTTCTGATGAAGGTCTTGTGGTAGATACATCTATTTGAATGTCTATCTTATATTTGATTATGTATGACTTGCATTCACGAGGCGATTTATCAGTGTTTAAAGAGACATTTTTTTGGAACGAATAGAGTTGGGAAATCCTAGGATGCCTAGGAAGTATCTTCCTATTATGGGCACTCCTATGATAGAGTGCCTGATAGTGATTATAAGGAAATAACTTAGAAGCCTTGGAATGGTTATTGGGGTAGGTACGGATAGGTGTGGAAGGTAGTATAGGCCCGTATTATTGGAAGCACATGATCAATACTTGAATCATGGAGAGTCATTGGGATACTAAGGAGTTTGTTGTAAGAGAATAGTTTGGGATGACACTATGTTCATATTTTGACCTTTATGTTGAATTTTTATAATGGTAATGACTCGACATGAAGGTAGTTCTGGTTCTGGTTAATAATCTGGTTGTGGATCGGGTGATGCAGAGGCACATGACTTGACTTCCGCGGAGATTTTGAGGGTTATCTTGGAGTATTTACCGGGTATGTTCGAAACGATCAAGGTTGAACTGGTAACCATGATGGATGAGCGTCGGAGGTCCATCCGGACCGAGTTATGGGCTAGACAACCCATGACGCATGACATAACTTTCCGATAATTTCATTCTTGTAGGGCTACCGAGCTTTTTAGGAAGAAATAGCCCATTTTTAATATGTGTTAGATTGCGGATATGGAGAGCGCTTTACTGAATGGGGAAAATGCCATGTTTAATGCTTGTCTCTTGCGCGAGGAAGCTAGAGACTGGTGGGGAAAGGTGGTCCAGACTCTTGGAACAGAGACTATTGAGACCATGACTTGAGAATATTTCGTGACTAGGTTCAGATCTCACTACGTATCGGAGATTAAGGTGCAACAGCTGGCCCGAGAGTTCTAGGCTCTCGATCAGACTACAAAGACTATGGTGGAGATCACCTCCAAGTTTAGGGAGAGGACACTATTTTTTTCCTCGGTACGCTTGCAGAGGTAATGATGAAGATGAAGAGATATCATGACATGTTGAAGACTGCCATCAAGGAGTTTGTCAGTATGAAGACATGTACGGCACTTGAGTAGATGATTGATGCGGCCCGAAAATGGGAGATTGATTTGGAGCTTTAAAAGAAGAGGAAGCAACCACATGTTTAGACTGTAGTTGTTCCACCTAAGAATTTCAAGACTTCTGATGTTCGTTCTTGGGGACAATAGGGTTCACATGAGGGAGCTTGTCACGTAACTAGGTTGGGTTGTTTAAGTGTGGCTAGTAGGGGCACTTTATCATGGAGTGCAAGTATGGGGCATTGATATGTTTTTATTGCAGCCATTGGCCACAAGAAGGCCAAATGTATGATTTCATCCGGTTGGGGC